AAAAGAGCTACAAACAAGACCATTCAGCACATCCAACCCATTTAGTAGTTTGTGACAAATAGATCTAAGGATCTCATCCAGGAATTTCTTGAAAGAACCAAGGGTATTGGCTGGGGATTTTGCTGTTATAGACCTCAACATACTGCTATTCACAGAGAAAAGAAGGTGCTGATGTGTAATCACTAAGGTGTAATCTTATTAGAGTGGAAGATGTTTTTTAACCGCTGCCATCTCCTCACTCAATTGTTCCTTTTTAAATCTTTCTTATGACAGAAAGAGGACGTTTTGTATGCTACAATCGACCATGGAGAGGGGGTCAGAACGTTTGTGCAGCCCTGCGATGACCACTGTGAATACACCACTGTCATCATGCCACCTGCAGCACTGAAAGTGTCTAGTAAAGAGAAAGAGGACTGTAGTGATGATTATGTTCTAATGAATTAGTTTTAAATTCTGAGGGATCCTTATGAAGTCTTTGTCCCTGCTTTATTAAATGTATACATACCCCTTTAATGTTCAGACACCACACAGTTTGGCAGATAAACTCAATGCATTCCCAATCTAATCAATGTCCAACACTATCAACAGATATGTTTATGATCCAGGAATCAGTCCAAGGTCATGGGGAGAAAAAGGATATTTCCTCCATTCTAATGTCAATGGGCGGCCTTGTGGCCACATAGATTGGCAATACCTATCTTTAGAGATGCTCAGTGCGAATTTTGGTCGAAGAGATTTTACAGGTGCTTGGTATAATTTAGACTAACACTCTTTTGGTGTGACATGACTTCCTGCCCACATGACCAGTTGATTGTTCCATTGAAAGAGTTTGCCACCACAGTCGGCATTCAACCATGTTGCTCCCCTGAGTTTGCATCAGCTGAGCCCCCATGGCCAGTGGTGCACAAAGAAGAAAGACCACAAAAGAGACAGAAGAAAGCAGCTGGAGAGGGTAGAAGGGAGAAGAGCCAATACTGCATCCAGTTTCAACAGTGACAGAGTCGGGGACTTGGGCACTGAAGAATAACAACTTAAATAGAGGCAAAGGAGCTCTGTGTTTAATTGTGAAACTGTTTAAGTTTGTGTTTTGAAACATGCCTGTCTGCGACTGTTACTCGTGTTTTACTTTTTGTTGTTTATATGCTGAATTATTGGTATCAAAGGCTGCCTCCTTTCAGCCTCCGTTAAGAGTACAATTTGTGCAGTGGATAATAACTGATTTTCTAAAAACAGCCTTACTTTCGTCAAGACAGAGACTTAACTCTAGTTCTGAAGATACTACAGTAGATCAATGTTAGAGCTCTAGTAAGGAAAGCTACAGTACATGTAATTGGGCAGCAGAACTTACTCCTGTTGTAAATATTAGTTTTATGTTGGTTGTAGTTTTGTGTAATAAATATTTGCCCATTAATCTCTTGTCTTATTAATTTTTTACAAGCATTAGCAGAAATTTCCAAACATGGGGGAGTTTTATTATTTAACTTTCATAACTTCTAACCTTTAATTACTAGTAATGCTTCCCTTTGTGTTACAATCAACTGAGAATTTTGCTACAATAGTTTTCGAAATTGTCCATACAGTCCATACATACAGGATCCTCGGCCTCGTGCTTAGGACAAAGTCCAAGTCCCAGTGCAGACAACACTGCTTGTCACGTGATTGTCTCTGAGGGTGCATGAAAATGGCCAAAAAAAGGAGAGCCCCGACCTGAGCTTGTGCTACTTTTTTGACCAAGTCACAGATGTGTGATGATTGGTTGAGAGTTTGGTGGGCATTGGAGACCCACGTGGTGTTACCACGCCCTGCCAGTCCCTGAGTGGTTGATCAAGGTGAGAGATGAGTCACTTACTCCTGACACTTAGGAATGCAGTCCAGATGTCCTTCTGGCACTCCCTAGACAGATAGGCGCCAGGGATGACCATTGATTAGGCTTAGCTAAGTCCCCATTTGGGAGTTGTTCTTTAACAAAAGAAAACACCTTAAATCAGCCTGCATGAATAGATTCTCTGTGGCTACACCACAGAGATGAAGAGAGAGATGGGGCCTCATTTAAGACAGCACAGCAACACTTAATTCTGTCTTATTAACAAGCATTGCCGCTACACTCCTATCCTGGAGTCCTTGCACTGGCTTCTGTTAAATTCCGTGTAGACTTTAAAATCCTCATGCTCACCTATAAGGCTCTGCATGGCTTGGCACCTCAGTATCTGTCTGAACTATTATCCTACTCCCCACCTCGCAACCTTCGCTCTTCTAATTCTGCTCTCCTTACTCTCCCCCAAGCCCGTCTATATTGTATGGGTGACAGGGCCTTCTCCTGTTATGCCCCCAAGCTCTGGAACTCTCTCCCCAAGGATATCAGAGAGTCACCTTCTCTAAACTCCTTCAAATCCAGACTCAAAACCCTCTTCTTTACTTAACTGGTTCCATTCTTCACCCCTCTGCTTTTCTTAGTACCACCATCCACGGTCTCCTCTATATATTGTAATTGTGTTTTATCTTGTGTATTCTTCTTATTTATTGTTGTTGTCATCCTGTAAAGCGCTTTGAGAAGCCACCTTTAAAGGCGCTATATAAAATAAAGTTTATTATTATTATAGTTTATTATGAGAGATAGAAAGTTGTTGGACTGCAGAAATAGTGTTGGAGCAGCCAACATTAATTGGTTGGGTTGTATTCCGGCAAGTTATTCCTTATTTTGAGTGAATTACATCACAACTTTCTGAAAGTGTAATGAAATCGCTATAGAGAAGGGAAGTTCAAGAGGAACTGTTTTTCTTTTGTACAGAGATAAGATAAAGGTCCTAAAAATAGAGAACAGTGTTCTGCAAAGAATTGTTCTCTCAAAATAAATTACTTTTGCTTATAGGGACACATGAGAGTAGCCTCACTGATATATAACCTCTTTATATAACCTCTGTAAGTAGCCATACAGTACAACCTGAATGCAACACCTTTTGAAAATGATATATCCAGTATATATCCAGATATCAGAATCTGGAACATTTTCTAATATATAAATGCAACATTTCATTGTATAACTCACATTGAGTCTTCGTTACTCTTTCACACAGCATCAGAACTTGATAGAGATAGTTTACAAACAGACTATGTCACCCTTGATAATGAAAATGAACACAGAGGTAAACATTTCAGTGTCTAGTAATTCTGTAACCATTTTTACTTCACAGGGATAATATACAATTTAATTTCACACGTCCATTCTTAACAAAGAAAGACTCAAAACAGCAGGGCAGTGCCTATACTTTTTCACAGGCTAAAGAAGTTTGGCATGCCGTCACATATCCATGCCTCAGTGGCTAAGGATCTGCACCTGTGGCTAGAAGGTTGCCAGTTCAAATCCCGCAGCCGGCAGGGGAATCCTACTCTGTTGGGCTCCTGAGCAAGGCCCTTCACCCCAGCTGCTCCAGGGGCGCTGTACAATGGCTGACCCTGCACTCTAATCCCAAGCTTCTCTACCTGTCTGTGTGTCTCATGGAGAGCAAGCTGGGGTATGACAAATTCCTAATGCAAGAAATTGTATAGGGCTAATAAAGTGAGCTTATCTTAACTTCTTAAGAAATTGTATAGGGCTAATAAAGTGAGCTTATCTTAACTTCTACAGGTGCACTGTTGAGAGTATCCTGACTGGCTGCATACGGCCTGGTATGGGCGCTGCTCCGCCAGGGATCGCAAAGTACTGCAGGTGGTGAAATCAGCGCAGATTATCACCGGCTGCGTGCTACCAGACATCGAGGATGTCACGCTTTCACATAATCAGACACCTAACCTTTCTAATTCTCACAAATGCAGGCGCATTCCTCCGACCACAGTTAATCAGACACCAGACCGATCCAATTCCCGAAAACGACAGCGCACAAATTTATCATCCTATCACTTCACTGCATGGTATTATATAGTCAACTGTTTTCCTGAGCCTCATCTCTCGTTTGAGATCAAAGCAAAAACCCTTTTTTCTAGCCTGGATATCATTACAACCTGCCTACCCGACCCAGACTTCGTCTTGCTCTTTTGGGTTTGTCTAAACTCTTTTCTGTTTCTTTAGCTATCGACAGTGCCTGCTTACCCGACTCCGGAATTCGTCTTGCCCTATTGAATTTGTTTGCTCCAGGCATTGGACACGACCTGCATAGGGTTCTTTGTACGTTTTGTGATGGAGGATATCTACTCTGTTAGATGCCACAAGAAATGCAGGATTGTACTCAAGGACCCCAGTCACCCATACCACAATCAGTTTTCCCTACTACGTCTGGAAAACGACACCGAAGCCTGCAAGCAGCCACCAGTAATTACCCAAACGTTTTTCTCGCCTGGGTTTTTTCGCTGCCTACGGTTTTTTTTACTGCATAATCTTGTAAATTGTTAAGGTATAATTTATTGCATTCTTCTTGCAACCTATCAAGTTCTGTCCTATCTCTCCTTGGTGAGCTTGCAGAAAATGCATTTCACTGCCGACTGTATTGTCGTGCATTGACAAATGAACAATGATTCATACTGTAGAAGCACTTTAAGTCTCATGACATTTATTAAGTACGTGATTAGATGTGTGACACCCTATTAAGTTATAA